CTGGCCAAGAATGGTTGTTCTCACAGCAAAGCAGTATACAAGGCACCCCAGATTGGAGAATTGAGGGGAGACCGCTGTTCACAGTCCAGATTGTACCCTGGGTTAAAGTAACAGTGAGGATACGTCAAACTGTGGGGGGAGGGGGGGGGGAGAAACAGGCCAAAGCAAACATCAACTCTTCAAAAATCCCTCCAGAAAAAGCAGCAGCAAAAACCAAAATGGTATAAAAGAGCAGGCTGCTTTGTGCCTTTACAGTATAAAGCGGTACAAGAGGAGAGAAGAGGAAATGCAGGGATAACATTGCCAAAGAAGCTGAAGTGCTGTTGAAAGAGGTGATGGAAAAACATTTTATCAGCTCCACCAGGTCCATTTTATCAGCTCCAGCAGGTCTTTTACACCAACTGGGGGGCCTGTCAAGGATAAACAAGGAAAGACTTTCACCAAAAAGGAACAAAACAGAGCAAGTGGTAGAAGCTAAGAGATGCTAAACAGACCAAAGAGATCAAGAGATGCTAAACAGACCAAACACCACAAGCTGCTGACAGAGAAGTTAAATACACATTCAATCTCTCCTGCTGAAGCTGGCCCACTTTTTATAAAATACTTAAATAGTTCATGGGGCTAGTGTGAGAGAGAGAGAGAATGACAGCACAGCCTGTTGGCTTTGGCACTCACCTGGAGGGGGCAACTTGGGGTTCCAGTCCTTGCACCAGTAACTAATTATTTATACAAAGTGTAACAGCATCAGCGAGATAGAGAGAGCACCCCCACCCCCAGAATAGCCAGCTGTCTCTGTGAGAGGAGGAAACCTATGTTCAAATTCCTACCCCAAATCAGGGGAGTTTGAATCCAGGCCTCCCATGTGCCAGGTGAGTGCTGTAAACCACTGTGCTTCTCCATCATCGTGTGAGAAAAGGCTGACTTGGCTTAGGTGCCTAACTCTGGGAGAGGGTTCACAACTGTGAATCTTTAATATGAGAGGCTCCACCCCCCAACCCAGAGTTAGACACCTAAATCCCTTTGAAGGGTGTGGCTTAGATCACACGCTGCTTCTCAGCATTTCCTATAGGCTAGTTTATTTGGCTTCCCACTCAGCTTGCTAGCTTCGGTGCACCCCATTTATAGGCACCTAACTCTCCCATGCATTCAGTGCTTAATTTGTAATGAAAGATGTGTCAGAGCTCAAGCAATTAGGTACCATGGCTCAAGCATTTACTTTTATAACTGACACAGCAAGACCATAGGTGCCGGCCCTGTCACAAATTAAGCACTGCATGCATTGACTGGAGAGCCTGGGTACCTAACTCCGGGCTGTGTTGTTGTTAAACTGACCTAATTTTCTAGTGTAGACAAGACCTAAAGAAGCATTAGGTTTTGTAATACTAAGCCTAAGTCCCCTTTGTGGATCTACCCATAAATGTATATTCTGTTCATTTATGATATGATGAACTTAGCTGAAATAACTGTAGTGTGTGTGATATTCTTCACCCCATATTCACCATCATAGGTGCCGATACCGTAGGTGCTCCGGGGCTGAAGCAGGGGTGGGAAGAGGTGGAGAGTGGGTTGAGCACCCCCTGGGAACTAGGGAAGTTGGCACCTCTGTTCACCATAGTGGTATGATTATGACAATTATGATGCACCTTGTACAAAATGTGTCATGTGAGGTGTCAATGGAAAAGTTGCGATTTGCTGAATATGATTGTCCTGTTTGTATGAATGTATCATTTTGGTATCTGAAGTTATGAATATTGACTATGCATCTGTATTTCAAATGTGCTTGCTCCTGGGTAACACCCACAACTTTAAAGAAGCTAGACAGTGCTAATGGCCCATCAGCGAAAACAATGGGCCATGAAAAGAGCTTGTCCTCACCTGGGGGATGCTTCAGACAAACCTATGGATAATGTCTTATCCAGCATGCAGGGGTATGTGACTAGACCACATGATACTGAACTCCATTTTGGTATCGGTATTTTTCCCAAAAACTGGGCTGGGAACTTGGCTTGGAACAAAGGAGTTCCTGCCCTATGGAAGAAACTACAAAAGGGGGAAGTGACATCACCAAGGGGCCTCACTCCCCACACAACAGAACACCTGGGAACACTTTAGGAACAAAGATTGAAGTGGGGAAGGCTGGGAAGAAGGAATCGTGCCTGTGTATGTGCTTAATGGACTGTTTGTGGTAGGTAACAGGGTGAGACACTGCTTGATTCAAATCCTATCTAGTGTATAAGACTTAGATTGTGATTTTGTTTATTTCTTAGGTAACCATCTTTGATCTGTTTGCTATTATTTATAATCACTTAAAATCTATTTTATACTTTTTACCTAAAACAGTCTGTTGTTTGAAGTGCAAAGGGAAATCTGCTGAGGAACAGGGGGCAGGTACATTGTCCTTTCCACATCGAGGGAGGGGCAGACTGGGTAATAAATGCATACTGGTCAGGCTTTTGACCAGGGCAGGATGGTAGAGCTCTGGGTTCTTAGGGTGGGGAGCTGGGGGTATTTTAGCTGGAATCTCTCTATCATTGGTTCATGCCAGGGCTGGCCAGAGCATTCATGAACATGGCTGGGTGTGGCCCCTGCCTGTGAATGTTTGTGGAAGGGCAAGCTTGGAGGGCTTTGCAATTTATCACATCACTGTGTGAGAGGGAACCCAGATTGGTAAAACAGAGAGCTCAGCGGTACCCCAGTAAGTTCCAGGTTGCACCCCGGAGTAGGGGGAAGGGAACCCATCACAGTGAGCTGCCGCCATAGTATAACTATCCTGAATGAAGTAACTGTCTCCATAGCAGAGTTGCACAGATGCTTTCACAACATCAGTTAATGGAATCACTGACAGTGCATATGACATCATAAAGAGATCCAATGTTTGAACTTTATGTTAACTTATCACCTAAAAAGTGAAAATGCAAGTTTCCGCTAAGCTGTGCGGCCATGCAGCAGCCTATCAAGGGCCATGCAGGTGCTCAGGGCTGCGGTGGGGACACACGAAGGCGCCTCTCCCGCAGCCCCAGCCCCACACCTGCTGCAGCCGGGGAGAGGCGGGAAGAGACATTCATTCTCTTCCAGCCCCAGAGCTGCCGCAGCAGGGAGAGGTGAGGAAGAGATGCTATTCCCCAGCTCCAGAGCTGCTGCAGCTGGGGAGAAATGCCCTCCTCCCACCCACCCCCTGACCAGGCGCTGCTGCAGCGAGAGAGGGCAAGGGGAGTCTTCTCTCCCCGCCACAGCCCTGGGGTAGCCTGCATCCCAAACCCTTCATTCTCGGCCCCACGCCAGAGCCCACATCCCCAGGTGGAGCCCTCACTCCATGCCTCTCCCCAACCTCTGCCCCAGCCCTCCCACACTCCGACCCCCTCGACCCCACCCCCACCACACATCACCTCCATATTGATGCACATAACAAAATTCATTCCGCACCTATTTACAAACATTCACCGTCTTATGTGAAGTCCTTCAGTGTAATTTCCAAAAGTCTTGCATAATGTAGGTTCACAATCTTTTTAAGGAGTCTCTTCCAAGGCCCGTTCTCCTACAGTCTTGGATGTAGCCAAATTTTGAAAATACTCTCTCCACGGCAGCTGAGCCAGGTGAGACACCAAGAATGTGAGAGGCAGTGTTTTGAAACGTATTCGGATACAGATTTTCATTTTCTTCCCATTTTAATGGGTCAAATCTTTAAATCATTATCTGGTAACAGCTTGAAATATGTACGTGGTGAGCATGAGATTCATCAGTAAGTTCAGATGCACATTCTCTTCAGCGCTTGCGTGTGTGCCTGTTTGTTGGTTTATTCTATGTAACTTCTAGACTAATACATAGCCTTACTTGACTAATGTATTATTATAATACGTATCTCATTCAATGTATTGTATTTTCCTAATAAAAAATGAGTTTTTATAATTTGAATGATACAAAAGTAGGGTGAAAATTGGAAAAAAAAATTGAATAATATGTTTTGTAAAGCCCAGGATTTATTTTTTGGGGGGTGGGAGGGGAGTAAAAATCGGTTTAAACTGAAAATGAAGGACTTAGGCATTAGTAAACATAGTACTTTTATTTTTCTTGAAACCATTTCTGATTTAGGTCTCATTACTTGTAGTCATTTAAAATCTCTCTTTGTAGTTGATAAACTTGTTTTAATCTAATCCATTGAATGGATTGAAATGTTTAGGAAACTCCACTTGGGGTGACAAGTTAGGAGTATGTTATTATTATGCTGCATTAATGTTGCTGTGGCAACTTTAGAATTAGTTCAACAGCTAAAGTGAATTTTAAGCTACTCCATGAATATGGAGATTTCCTAATATGGATGCAGCTGAAAGAAATCTCTCTAGAACATAAGAATGGCTATACCGAGTCAGACCAAAGGTCCATCTAGCCCAGTATCTTGTCTTCCGACAGTGGCCAGTGCCAGATGCTCCAAAGGAAATGAACAGAACAGGTAATCATCAAGTGATCCATCCCCTGTCGCTCAGTCCCAGCTTCTGGCAAACAGAGGCTAGGGACACTGTCCCTGCCCATCCTGGCTAATAGCCATTGATGGACCTATCCTCCATGAACTTATCTAGTTCTTTTTTTTAACCCTACTATGGTCTTGGCCTTCACAACATCCTCTGGCAGGGAGTTCCACAGGTTAACTGTGCGTTGTGTGAAGAAATACTTCCTTTTATTTGTTTTAAACCTGCTGCCTATTAATTTCATTTGGTGACCCCTAGTTCTTGTGTTATGAGAAGTAGTAAACAACACTTCCTTATCTACTTTCTCTACATCAGTCATGATTTTATAGGCCTCAATCATATCTCCCCTTCGCCATCTCTTTTCCAAGCTGAAAAGTCCTAGTCTTAATAATCTCTCTTCATACAGAAGCCGTTCCATACCACTAATAATTTTTGTTGCCCTTTTCTGAACCCTTTCCAATTCCAATATCTCTTTTTTAAGATGGGGCAACCACATCTGCACACAGATTCCTGCCATAATACAATGAACTTGTACAGTTAGGTACAAGTTTTGAGATTCAGAAATGTGCAGATCTGCAGCCTGCCCAGGTGCCTGAAGGATTCATTCCTGTCTTTCAAAAGGAGCAGAGACCTGAAAAGAGAAATGTGTCACAATTGTCAACAACAACTTGCTAATATTGCAAAACCTGCATGAACAGCATTGTACTGTGCTGGTTACACTCCCAATGCCAGTATGGAGCAGCATCAAGAGTGTGCATGGCCCCATGATATTGGCACTTGTGCAACAAACAGACTCAGGAACTGAAGAGGAATTAGGTAAACTTCATTTCTGTGAATAAGGTATGTCCCAGGTTCAGCGATAACTGCAGTTTTGATTCCCCTCCTGGTCTTCCTTGAGAGCTCCCCCTTAAGGTGCAGGCTCCCAGCCATCACCTCCCTTGGCAGAGACCTGTCTCTCTCTCCCACCAAATGGAGGTTAAGGCTTGCTGTTAAGGCTGCACTTCACTGTGATTTCCCCAGCAGGTCTGCCTGGAATCCAGCACTTGTGGTTAATCTTTCTCAAGGAGCTACAACAATATATCCAAAACATTACAGAGGAAACATATACAAAACAATACCAGTTCCTATACACATGCTAAAAGCTTACCAGAGGTCACCCTGAGTCTTATGGGGTCCTAGTAAGCCCAAGGATTGGGGCCCGCTTAGACAGAAGGCTCTGTCTGTTTGCTAGATCAAAAGAAGGCCCCACCTTAATTCAGGCTCAGCCTTGTGATGCCAAAAGCCCTTTCCTTGTCTGTTGGTCTCTGGAAAACCCAGTTAGTACCAGTACATTCAAACCTCCCGTGATGCTGGGACCTCTCTGGATGTACATCCTGCAGCAATATGCTCACATTACCCAAGCAAGGTGTTTTAACATTCTGGCTTTAAAGGGAAGTCAGACATATTTCAATTCCCACTTCAAACATCTTGCATGATAAAGGTTCCTTTCAGGGAGGAACAGAAGGATCAATGAACCTTGCACAAGACCTTGGATTTCAGATACTTATATATTCATCAACCAGAGAAGACAATATACAACAATGCTTAACAGCAGAACAAGTCCAGAAACCAACCGGTGACTCTCAAAAATATTCCACATCATTGCTGCACTACAAGACAATTTACAAATGAATGTATGGTGAGGACGTAGAGGAAACACAGGCCTGCTTGTCTGTGTTTTTAGGGTCCAATGGTTGGTTTCTCCATCATGCACAATCAACAGATTAGGTTTTTTCTTCTGCAAAACTTTCAACTCCTTTGTTGTATTTTCATTTATGTGATTGACAGACAAGCTGTGAAAAGAAAAATGAACCATCAGTTTCATTTATAGAGTTGTTCAAATGCCTGCGATTACAAACTTTCTGAAACAAAAGACACAGCACACCTATATTCAATAAGAAATGCTCTAGGACAGCCACCTGAAACACATAAATGCATTGCTGCAGAGCAATATATTCTAACTGTACACTTAAAAAAAAATACAATTGCCAAAAGTCTTTATCAAGCTAGAGTCAAGTTTGTAAATATTTTCCAGTAACTTAATAACAACAAATCTTAATAGAGCACTGCAATTTTAAAACCACAAATGCCAGAAAATCAGTGTTAAAGTTACAGGAAGAAAAGACAACTTTGGAAAGTATAGAAATGCAGAACTGAGGCCCCACAATAATCTTAATTTTGCCCTCCTGACCCTTGCCATCCTATGCATCCTCCATGTCAGGCCGATGTGTGTCTATAGCAAGCGTTACAGAGTGTCACAGATCAGCGCGACTGCACCTGTATTCTGCCTCCGTGATCCAGCAAGGGCACCCACTCTCAGGCTTCCAGCTCCCCAGACATCACCTCCCATGGGCAGAGACTAGGGTTGCCAACTTGCTAATCAGACAAACCCAAACACCCTTGCCCTGCTCCAGCCCTTCCCTGAGGCTCTGCCCCTTCCACAAGGCCCCGCCTCACCTCACCTCACTCAATCCCCTCTCCCTCTGTCACTCGCTCTCCCCAAACCTCACTCATTTTCACTGGGCTGGGGCAGGGGGTTGGAGTATAGGAGGGGGTGTGGGGTGCGGGCTCTGGGAGGGAGTTTGGGTGCTGGAGGGGGCGCTGGGCTGGGCCATGGGTTGGGATGTGGGAGGGAGTGCAGGGTGCTGACACTGGGAGGGGGCTCAGGGCTAGGGCAGGGAATTGGGGTTCAGGAGAGGGCGCAGGAGGAGTTGTGGGGTCCTGGTTCCAGGAGGGGGCTCAGGGCTGGGGCAGGGGGTGAGGGGTGCAGGCACTGGCCAAGTAGTGCTTACCTCAGGTGGCTCCTAGTGATCAGTGCAGTGAGGCTAAGGCAGGCTCCCTGCCTGCCCTGGCCCCCACACTGCTCCCCGAAGTGGCCAGCACATCCCTGCGGCCCCTGGGGGGGCACCAAGGAGTCTCTGCATGCTTCCCTCACCTGCAGGCACTGCCCCCGCAGCTCCCATTGGCCACAATTCCCAGCCAATGAGAGCTGTGGAGTCGGCACTGGGGGGTGGCAGGAGCAGCACATGGAGACCCCATGGCTGCCCCCCGGGGCTGCAGAGACATGCCAGCTGCTTCCAGGAGTAGCATGGGACAGGGCAGGAGGAAGCCTGCCTTAGCCCCGCTGCGCCACCGACTTTTGGCAGCCTAAAATCTCCCAGTTTGGCTTCAGTAGCTTCTGGGAGATAGAGCCCGATTCAGGGAGACTCCTGGCAAAAATGGGAGGGTTGGCAACCTTAGCAGAGACATATGTCTCTCCCTCCTGATGGGGATGTTTCCAGGCTGCACAGCTCCCTGCCTATACTGTGATATCCCCAGCAAAGTCAGGCTGCCTAAGCAAACCTGTTTAGCTTTTTCCTCAGAGATGGTAAATGGTATAAAATTGCCACAGTTAAATTACCATGCAGCTCTTTCTAAGCAAGCACATTTATTTTTTAGGTAAAAGTATTACAGAGAAAACATATTAAAAACAGCAAGATAACCTACACACATGCTATTAAGCTTAGCAGATATCACTCCCTTACTTCATCAAGGACTTTGTTGGTGATTAGTTCTTCAAACACCACGCAGTGTTTTTTCCTGTGGTGTGGTAAATGGGGGGGGG